ACACACACACACACACACACACACACACACACACACACACACACACACACACACACACATATATATATTTTTTTGTAATTGGGTCCTTATGTCGAACATTTGGCTGCAGCTAAGTAAATTGTAAACAAGCATTGAGAGGAGCATTGAATGGTCCTGTTTGTTTAAAGCATAAAAAAGCAGAACTTTAAAATAAATTTTTGTACAGTTACTTTTTTCTTTGTGCTTACCACCTACTGACAGTGACTTTCTATTGCAAACACACATAATAGTGGTATTTAACAGCTTAATTAGACACTCCCAGTATTTTGCTTTTATTACCTGCAGTACTGAGTGACTTAGTCTTTTTTAATTCCTGTAACCCACCTGATGAAATGTGGATATGATGTATTGTTTTTTTATGTATGCTTATGGGATATTATTTGATTTTTATGTTTTTGTGTAAGTCTGGTCTGGAGTGAGAACACAGTTCAAATACAGAAATTTGGTGTAGCAGTAAATAGGGCTGTCAGCATCTGGCTGACAGTGGGGTGGGATAGTCAGAGTTGGATAATGGCACCGCTCTTAACTGCTCTTTGATCTAATTCAACTGAACTCTGAGGAGATAATTAAGAAGCTGTGCCCCTTTTTTATGTAAACCCAATAAAATATGACATTTGCTCAGCTCCTCAGGCAAGAGAATCAGCACATTCATGCATTAAAATCTTTTCGTCTTACTCATGCCTTTTTTTTCTTTTGTAAGCTTACAGCTTTACGAGGTCATRCAGGGTATCTGCTTTGCAAAACAAATTTACTATCTCGTTTACTGAAAACAGGCTCGGAATCCTCCCGAAAACACATCTGCTTTATATAATGCAAGAAAACACACAATTGGATGGCAACTGTTGCAAATTCCAATCAAACCAAAATCAGACAGTGGATTTTTATTTTAATGTTTTCTTAGTTTTTAATTGAGACTTTGTGGCTCATTTGCCTCAAGGAGGATCAAAGTCAGTATTGCTTTCAATGTATTTTTGGAGAATTGTATACATCACATTTTATTAGCAGCATTGCTTGTCAAACGTAATAAAAACATATGCAGACAACTATGTGACGGGTGTGCTTTTCTTCAGGGTAAGAACTATTTACATTTGCTTTTGAGAATTATATTTAATTTACAAGTCAAAGAGTCCATGTTTACTGTTGGAGCTAATTAACCTTCAGGCTTCCATTTCAGGTTAGGTTTTTGTGGCGTGCGCATGCCTTCCAGTGACTAAGGGAACAACTATGTTAGGCGGATGGGAGCGTTTGCAGCCTTGTTTCTTTTAAAGTTGTTGTGAGGGTTTGACAGACTGACTTTAATGTAAACATACGCTTTAAAATGATTCACTTGCCCTTCTTTCGCTCCTTTTCTGAGGCGTATTTCAGATCAACTCATTTTGAGGCTGTCTCTTTAAATCCAAACGATGCGGTTCACACTCCTAGAGACTCAAAGTAAACAAGAAAATGCATTTACATACAAACAGTGGATTTTGCATGTCCCCTTCAAAGGGGCAATATTATGTAAAATCAACTTTTTTGAGCTTTGTATCGTATAATTTTATCCCCTCATCAAAAACATACACAGAGTCTTGCTTTGGCTCGTTCATGTATGTTTGTGAAATCCTGTACTGTCCTGAGGATGTCATTCAGGGGAGCAAAARCAGCTGGTTTGGCCTRGAACTRCCTTTTAGGAGCTGCTCCTCTGGACTGTGTCTCCAATCCGAGCCTCCGCATCACAGAGCACGCCTCCCTCACGACTCCTGCACACTATTGGCAGCAACAACTTAGCAAACACCTGGTGAAACCGCGTGCTTCCTGAGCTCGTAATACTTCTCAGTTCTTTTCGGATTAAAACATGTTTTTGATGAAAGACACTATACTCTTTTTCAAGCTTCACAAGGATGACATGTTTCTTAAAAAAATGGTTTGATTTCATTTTTGGAAGTAACCCTAATTTAATATAAGTGAACTTAATTATAAATAATTTATATATTTGTGCGAGACACTTTACAGATGATGGCTTTCTGAACAAGAGGAAATTTAACAGTGGAGTAATAAGATTATCACTAAAAGATGATGCAATTTCATCACTCAGAAGTACACAAAAACTGTTGTCATCTGCCTTGTAAGCTGAGGAACAACTCACATTTTGTTTGGTCTATCTGTGATCAATGGTTACAATTTGAAACATAATACGATCTGTGTTCTTTAGTTGTCTTACACCACATTTTTTAAATAAACAAATTAGCTTAACGTTGACGTGTGTATGTGAGGATAACTTGGAGATATCTTCCCAAGCTGAAACGTCGTCTCTCGCTCCGGTTCAGTTGTTAAGGTTCAATTGTGTCCTGAGTTTYCATTTTCCAAAACCGATACTGTATGGTGTTGCTGGTTTTTATTATTATTACACCAAAATAGGCTACAATTCATGAAGCTGTTGTGCTGATGTGCTGACATGGTTGTGATGGAAGCGGTACGAGGTTCTTAAAGAGACASAGGCCAATTTCAAGGCGTTTAGAATGCTATGATGCAAAGTCAAGTTAATTTTTGATTTATACATATAAACAGAATTTTCATAACAACTGAAGGTGACAGTTACTTTATTATGGTGTGGCATTGAACCATATGCCCAAGAAACGCATAATATTGGCCCTTTAACTTTGCACAGAACATACTTAAGAACTTATGTTTGGACTTGTCTGTGATTAATTTTGTTTTATTTTATCTTTTAGTGAATAGGGGCAGATATAAGTTTATACTTCTTACGGCGCCTGTTCTTTCATTACTTTTTTTCTCTGTTTTGTTTTCTTAGATTTTTGACTTGTATGAATTGATGTTTTTTATAGATGAATTTTTTTCTTCATATACAGTATATATATTGTTTACGAATGAAATAAATTTTAAAATAAAATATGTTTTGCACTACAACTACATTAAGTCAACCTGTTTTACCAAATGTAAATAAGTCAGACATCCGTATAGAAGAAGACAAATCATTTTCTTATACTTTCCTTGGAAAGCAGTTAAAGGAGGAACTTCGGTTTCTCTTCTTGTACAAGGATTTTCCCACCTGGATTATGCATATGAGAATGAATCATAACGGTGTGTGTGTGTGTGTGTGTGTGTGTGTGTGTGTGTGTGTGTGGGGTTGAATATTGGGTGGATGTCTGGGCGTTTGTCCAAGGAGCATCGTGTCAGCTCTGCTCGTGTCTGAGCCTGTCACACAGCAGTAGGCTGTCTCTTCCTCACTTCTTTTTCTTTCCTTTTTTAAATTKATTAATTTTTTTATTTAAAGTMATTTTGCTCTCAGGGCAGTTGWTTTAGGGTTGGTAAACGAACACATACTCCTGCACTTACWGGTGATTAAAATGAGGTTTAATTTACACACTTAAACATTTATWCTAATGTCCCTAAAAATGGGAATGAGATGAAAGAGTGATTAAAAAAAGGAGGAGCTTGAAAAACTGGAAAYAAATGCCAGAAGGTGGTGGTACTGGGGACAGGTGGGACCTGGGTGTGTTARGAAAGCCAGGTCGTGGTTTGAGGCTAAATCTCCAGGAGGCGGATGATGATTACGTTGCTCGCATTGCGCCTCAGCAGCTACTTCCTCAGGCCTCTCTTGGTCCTCTTGGATCTGTGAGAAATCACAGAGCAGGTCACAAGGTCAAAGGGTGAGGCTCAAACTTTTCCTACAAAAGGCACACAGGACTAACTTTGCCACGTAATTGTGACTAATCAAAGAGTAAGAGTTTGTTTCAGCGGCAACTGAATAAGCAGCCAGAAGAAACATGTATCAGAGCCCCGAGGAGGCTCATGAAGGTGTGGCTTGAGGAAAWGTTGCCAAGTGGTAAACTGGTTCTGTGACAAATAGAAAAACATTATTTCTCACGTTTTCTGGTGGTCGCTCACACGGTTCCTCAGCACGTTAATCTGGAGCAAACAAAAGGCAACCATAGAAATGTTACCCTTGTAAGGTGTTTTGTTGTAAWATGTTGCAAACAGTTTGACACACCTCGTATTTCTGCTTGGAAAACTGATACTGCAGATCGAACTTCTCAGCCTCCAGCTGGTACATCCACTCCCACAGCTCTTTAGCTTTCTCCCTGTGAAAAACAAAACAAAACAAAAAAACATGTTACTCTCAGAACAGTGAGGTTTTCCTCACCTCAGACTGATACTGCATGTTAATCCTCCACCCACTTGAGTTTTTCCTGACTAGCGTTTTCAACGTCCAGGAGTTTGCGTCTTTCACTCAGGATCTTCTTTTTTTTCTCTCTTTCTGTTTGCCTCTTCCCACTGCGTTTTTCGTTCTGTTAAAGTGAAACAAATACAGCACCGTTCATATTTTATCATACAAATATGCCCCTTAAAAATGATACAAAAAAAAAAAAAACCTGCTGACCAACTTCTGCATGTAGCCACCAAAGTGGAGGCTGGTCAATGTTTTTTTCTTCTTTGCGTCATCTTCTGCCCTCTTCTTAGCCTCCTCCTCCTCCTTACGAGCTCTCTCCTCCTGAGGAAACATGGACCCCCAAATAAAAATTAACACTTTGAAAAATCGGCAGATGGGTGAACTGAAAAGGTGAAGAAGGAGGAATTCTAGCAGGAAAATATTATCCGTAATTCTTTTACGTCTAGAGTTCTTGAAGAAATCAAATGAGCCAATGTTTCAAAAATATCTTGTGTGTGGTTTTAGTGCTCAGAGTACATGTTGGGCATGACTCTCAGCCTACGCAACACGTTTTAGCTCAGTGTTGGCGAAATTGACTTTAACTAGATGTGGTTTGTCAAATCTGTTTGTTTCAAAGGTTCATTAAAATCCATCCAGTGGTTTCCAAAATATTTTACTAAATTTATGTATGGCAAAGGTTTAAAGAAAGATTTGTCACATAATTCTACATTTTGATTATTGATATATTTGTGTAATGAGTGGGCTTTTTTTGTTGTTGCAACAGTTTAACAATTCCTTAAATAAATGTTGAACATGGTGGTGATTTAAAAAAGTTATATTTATGAAGAAAAACATGAGCCAAAAGAAGGATATTATCGCCATGGTTTGATTTTTCATCCCCTGGAGTTTTAGCTACTAATTCACCAAACTTTTGTTCAATATTTGTAACATTACCTGAGTTAGTGTCATGTATTTGTGTTTGTGAAGATGGTGATTAATATAAACCCAGAATTTAATTTCTGAGAGTTTCATTAAACTGTGTCCCATGGTTTGAGATATTTTATTGACAGAAAAACACACAGTGGCAGAATATCACTCGCCTTTTGCGGCAGTGTGCCTTAATAAATGAATGACCTTAGAACCGGTCCCTCAGATAAAGACCAAAACTTTACCTCCAGACGCTTCTGACGCTCTTTGTCACGCTCGCTGCGGATCCTTTGCTGCTCTGCTCGCTCTGAGCGCCGTTTCTCCTGAAATTCATGTCAACATGTCCGGTTATAAAACATCTAAATACAGATTTTGTGTTATTTGTTTTTTTTTTTTTTTTTTTAATGTTTTTTTTTTTTTTTTTTTTTTTTTTTTTTGTAATGCAAGGAACTCACAATTCTTTCTTTGAGACCAATGAGCTCTTCTTCTTCCTTTTTTCTGCTTTCAAAATGGACTTCAATCAAAGTCTGAAGCTCCATCAGGTCCTTCTCCATCCTCTTACGATGTATATCCTACAAACACAGCACCAGAGATATTAAACATGGAATCTTATCAATGTTTTACTGAAGTAGTACACGTGGATTATTTTGTTTTCAATTCAAAGTAACGTGGTGCTGAAGCAGGGTTTGATTCAGACGTTTCCATATACAATCTGAAGATACTTCAAATGATTAAACACTCCCTTTGGCAGAAACAGAGAATACTTCACCTACATCAAAATCCACCTTCTCTCCATCTGGGATCTTRGGAGGGATAAGGTTTGGCATGATGAAAGGCCTAAAACAAATCAGATAAAGCAGCAACAACACTGAGTGAACTACTGACAGTAAAAGTGTCAAGAGTAAAATATGGTACRAAATACAAGAGGAAATGTTAGATGACATCACTGCTGGTGTAAAATAAGGAKCACAAAATGCCTTTCTTGCAGGTTCGGGCCTGTGCAGACCGACGCCTTAGAAGAAACCTCTTTAGAACTKGGTTTTTTCCTTTCGCTTTGCTAAAGTACAGCATGAAATGTTACATAATCTTCAGAGTRAAACTTGCCAAATACACCTTTAAACCCTTAACTGTTACACCCCACGTTACATTTGTCTGGCYCAGGTCTGGCCCACACAATGCACCAACATTCTGCTTGGATACAGCAAAGAATGATGGACTTTTGGAGRCCCRGATGTGATTTGCCAAAGGTGGTCCGTGCTTGGGCCAACACCRTATAAACCAAAACAYAACTGGGCACGTTGTGGCATACACCATCTTAAAACCAGTGCTGTCASTGCCATGTCAGCAGTGCCAGTTTGGCCCACGCTTCTCACTCACACACATATTCTGTTTCCCTTCAAATTACTTTTCATTCCTCTTCTCTCCAGACATCTCCACCTCTCTGAACTCTCTTCCACTCACTCCTCACTCTCACTAGCACTTAGAGATATCATCTGAAAAAAAAATCAGAAACACTCATTATGTTTGTCTGGTATAGATAGACTGTATGTCAAAACATGATATAAAAGAAGTTTATAGAGATTGTTGACAAACAAAACTCATTCTTCACTTCTTTGTGGTGGGGCCTMCAGAAATGTTCTAATGGGTTGGCCACGAGGGGGCCGCAGTTATCACAACAAAGATTTACCATCACCCATCTAATATATTGTTTCATCAATTAAAATTATTTAAATTTTATGAGTTGGTTGAATATCATATTCTGCAGGTTATGTATAAAGCTTATAAAAATGTGTTACCGTCAAACATCCAATCAAATTTTGTTAAAAGGGAAAGCTGCTATAACTTGAAGGGACTACAAATGTTTGTTAAACTGAAAACTTGAACAAATTTGAAGGACCGATGCACTTCAGTAAAAAGTATAAGACTATGGAACAATCTGGAAAATGATGATAAAAGCATTTGATCAATTAATTCCGTCAGAAAAATGATCAAAGCAAAATTGTTAAAGAAATAAGCTGTTGTTTAATTTGTATTTGTATGAGTTACTGTTTGAGGAGTTGAATTTTTTGTTTCGTTTTATTATTTGGTTTAGTAAATACTATGGGAAGTTAAAACGTTCATAAAGTAAGATGATAAAGCTGTGCAAAGGAAGCCTCTGCTTCTTTGATTCCAAGTCTACAATGCAATCAAATGTTTTAGGCAATTATATTAAAATGAAATTTTACTGAGCAGTAAAATTTTAGGTTTTAAGACAAAATGACTTTGCATCACAAAAGCTGATTCCTTCTTCATTTGATTTGAACATTAAACTGCCCCAGTATGAAGACATTTTCAGGTCTAACTGTGTGTTTAGGTTTACTGACACATTTAAAAGCTAATGTCTATTTATTGTTCCTTGCAGAAAGTTGCTTTTTTCACTCTTTATTTCTGTCAGACTTCAATAACATCACCAGGTAGAGGAGTGTTCTGTCAGACCTCTTAATTAGACCTAATAATCTTTTCAAAATTTGCAATCTTTCTGTAAAAGGATATTAGGGTGTATGTGTATGATTATGTATGTGTATGTGTGTTCATTTATTTGTATTACTTACTTGAATTTTGGTTTAGCCTCCTCTATTGAAAAGGGAAAAAAAAAAGAAGACAACGATGAGCCACTCCAGACCACACACAWACTGACTGATTCACCAAGGCAACACCAAAACATTTCAACATTTTACCAGGAAGCCCAACCAAGTTCTGGCAGTGGAGCCTCTCTGTTATGACAGTTCGATGGGAATTTAATTTAGCAGGAAACTCATCGGTTTCAAAATCTGGCACGAGTTGAAAACAGTCTCTAACAAGAACAAACAAACACGTGAGGCGTGCCTTTTATTAAACATTGTTACCTTCACCATCTTCTCCCTCTTCTGCTTCTTCTTCACCTGAAACACACAMAAAAAGAGCTTGGGACATTTTGTAGGTTAAATGGGAAAAAATGTTTTAGGCTCAAAAAGACAAAAACATGGAATACAGAGAATGTTATCTTGTGTTGTCAGAAGTAAAGTGCTCCGTCATGCGCTGCACGCCATAAATACACTTTACACCGCAAAAAATGTCCATCTTACCAAGTTTTAAAATCTTTTCTCCAGCCAAAAAAGTCTTTTTGATCTTGTTTTGAGACTGATTTACTAAACAAGAACTGATTTTGTAAGAATAATAATCTTGTTTTCAGAATGTGTAAGATTATTTGTCTTGTTAGTCTGAAAATTTGACTCAAATTAAGTAAAAAAAAAATCCTGCCAATGGAGTAAGAAAATTTTACTTGGTAAGATTCTTGAAATAAGAAAAAAGTTAGTC